AACATGATTCTACCATTTCTCTATCTTTCGGTGGAATGACAGGAAGGAAGAAAGAAAGAAAATAGAAACTAAAATGAGATTAAGAAGGCAAAAATAAAGGGTGAACAGATCGAAGAAAGAAAGAAAGATAGAAAGAAAGAAAGAATGAAAGAACGAAAAAGGACATTAAGAAAACGAATAAGAAAGAAATAAGAAAGAAAGAAAAAGGAAATGATGAGAACAAAAAGAAAGATTGGACATATCGAAGAAAGATAGATAGAAAGAGAAAGGAAATTAAGAAAACGAAAAAGAAAGAAAAAGAAAGAAAAAAAAGAAAGAAAGAAAGAAAGAAAGAAAGAAAGAAAGAAAGAAAGAAAAAGGAAATGATGAGAACAAAAAAGAAAGATTGGACATATCGAAGAAAGATAGAGAGAAAGAGAAAGGAAATTAAGAAAACGAAAAATAAAGAAAAAGAAAGAAAAAAGAAAGAAAGAAAGAAAGAAAGAAAGAAAGAAAGAAAGAAAGGAAAAGGAAATGATGAGAACAAAAAGAAAGATTGGACATATCGAAGAAAGATAGATAGAAAGAGAAAGGAAATTAAGAAAACGAAAAAGAAAGAAAAAAGAAAGAAAGAATGAAAGAAAGAAAGAAAGAAAGAAAGGAAAAGGAAATGATGAGGACAAAAAAGAAAGATTGGACATATCGAAGAAAGATAGATAGAAATTGAAAGGAAATTAAGAAAACGAAAAAGAAAGAAAAAAGAAAGGAAGAAGAAAGAAAAAGGAAATGATGAGAACAAAAAGAAAGATTGGACATATCGAAGAAAGATAGATATAAAGAGAAAGGAAATTAAGAAAACGAAAAAGAAAGAAAAAGAAAGAAAAAAGAAAGAAAGAAAGAAAGAAAGAAAAAGGAAAGGATGAGAACAAAAAAGAAAGATTGGACATATCGAAGAAAGATAGATAGAGAAAGAAATTAAAAAAAACGAAAAAGAAAGAAAAAAGAAAGAAAGACTGAAAGAAAGAAAAGAAAAGAAAGAAAGAAAAGAAAAAAAAGGAAATGATGAGACAAAAAAAGAAAGATTGGACATATCGAAGAAAGATAGATAGAAATTGAAAGGAAATTAAGAAAACGAAAAGAAAGAAAAAAGAAAGAAAAAAGAAAGAAAGAAAGAAAGAAAAACGAAAGGATGAGAACAAAAAAGAAAGATTGGACATATCGAAGAAAGATAGATAGAAAGTGAAAGGAAATTAAGAAAACGAAAAAGAAAGAAAAAAGAAAGAAAGAAAGAAAGAAAGAAAGAAAGAAAGAAAGTAAAAGTAAATGATGAGAACAAAAAGAAAG